CTCTTCCGGGAGCGGCCGGCCTGGACCGCGGGTCTCGCGAGAATTTGGCCGCCGCGGACCTTGAGGTTGCAGGTGAACTCCCGGGGGCTGCAGTGAGGCTGTGGCCGGGCGTCTTGCTTAGGGGCCTATGGGGCGGCCAGATGTTCGTTCCCTCCTGGAACAGCTGCGAGCTCCAGGTTGAACCTTTAAGTCCTGCCGTGCCCTTCCGGGAGCGGCCGGCCTGGACCGCGGGTCTCGCGAGAATTTGGCCGCCGCGGACCTTGAGGTTGCAGGTGAACTCCCGGGGGCTGCAGTGAGGCTGTGGCCGGGCGTCTTGCTTAGGGGCCTATGGGGCGGCCAGATGTTCGTTCCCTCCTGGAACAGCTGCGAGCTCCAGGTTGAACCTTTAAGTCCTGCCGTGCCGGGCTGAGCTGAGAGCTACGTGGAGCAGCACAACAGAGCCCTGTGGGAAGGCTGGATTGTGCCGGGAGAGCGACCCTGCGTCCGATGCCTCTTATATCCCCGATGCGTTAAATTTTTTTGTTTTGACTTAAAAAAAAAAACAGCCGTGTTTTTTCTCTGAGCCGTGATTTCCCCGTGTCTAAAATAAAAGGCCTAACTACAGTCTCTGACAGGCCATCCAGCACCACTGCCTCTAGACCTTATCAGGGCGCAGCTTCGCTGGTATTTACAATATCCGGTGGTACCTAGTGAGCCCTGATCACGAGTGAAGACCGTTTGAGATAAAGCTGCACATATTTTAGGCCAGAAATTCAGGACTCAGTGCAGATGCCTGAGACTGTATTCCTGCGGGGAAAGGAAAATCCATCTTTCAAGGCTTTTCCAGAACACCTAATGGTCATGAGAAAATGGACGCAAGCTTTAGCTGGTAAATGTAGAGAAAAATTGGGCTCTATTTATTGTGGAAGGTCCAAGAAGGATGGTGGATTTTTTAAAATACTGAACTCTTTCTATCTTTCAGTAGATTTTTTTGAGCGTGGCCAGTTGCAAACGGCCCAAAATTCAGCTGGAGAACACATCGTTCACTTACTAACACATGTTGTTGAACAGACACATAAGTGTGAGAATGCAGCAGTAAAACATTCACTCCTGGAACTCCTACATTTTATTCGTGAGAAAAATAATTGTGTAGATTAATCGGTTGTAAGAAATAAAGCAGAGAAGGAAGGGCTGTGTGCAGACCGTTCAGGAGAGGGAAGTTTGCACGTCTAACAAAACCGAGATAAGAAAGAGGATGTCGGGTAGAGGACTACATTCAGGAGTACAGGAATCGCGAAGGCCAAGAGACACGATCGGCCTGGTGAAGGAAGAAGCAGAGTGAAGACAGTGGTACGAAAAGGGCTGGAGTGAGTGGCCAGGTCTTGTGAGGTTTTGAAGGCCAATGCAAAGACTTGGGCTTTTACTTCAGGAAGAAGCTGTGGGGAGGTTTTCAACAGAGGACTGTGGCCCTTTACAAGGTTTACTCTGCATCTTACGGGGAGTAACTGAACAACCCGAGGGAGTAGCAAGGAAGGAAGCAAAGAGACCAGTTAGCAAGGCAGAGAAGTGATGTGTGGGTGCTACCCTGAGGCAGACTGGAGAAAAGGTACAGCCGTGAAAATGGTGAGAAGTTGTTGAATTCTTGATCTATTTTCAAAGTACAGCCTATAGAATTTTCTCCTGGGGGCGGGGAGAAGTAAAGGATTTTTCCAGGGTTTTTATTCAGAGCAACTATAACAAGCACTGCCATGTAGAAATAGTGCCATACAGGTAATTGAAAATTTTCTAGCCACGTTAAGAAAAAAAGATGAAATTAATTTCTAATATATTTAATTCTGTGTAACTAAGACAGTTTAATATGTAATCAATATAAAAAGTTATTTAATGAGCTGTTTTACATTCTTTTTACAGCTATATTTCAAGTGCTCAATAGCTTATGTGGCTTATGGTTAGCATGGAAGAAGCTGTCCTTAAGAGAGGGAGGAAAAGGGAAGGAATAGGATTGTAGAATCGGGTCTATAAACAGTAAACTTGAAATGACTGTTAAAGATAGTAGAGCTTTGGAGTTGGGATTTGTATTTCTGGTCTCTGGAGTGATTTTTTTAAAATTGTGGATTGTAATTCATTGGAATGTTGTAAAATTAATTTTTAGTTGTAGTAAGCAATTTTAAAAATTAAATAGCCAAACGTTTTACATCTGATAAAAGTACAAACGTGTGTAACTTTGTTTTGGTTCCCGCTGGGGGTCAGGATACAAAACAATATTGAAAGTGCTTTGCAGTGCTAGCGATTCCCTGTGACCCATGACTGGGAATTGATGCCTCTAACCTGTGGGCAAGGCTTGGAAGGCACTCGAAGTCGTTGTGCTTTAGTTTTTCTACCAATCAGTGGGGCTAAAAACAGCACCTACTGTTAATTAAAGGAGGGTTTAGAACCGTGCCTCACCTGTGCTAAGTACTGGTGTGAGTACAGACGTCAGCAGCCTGGGACCCTGACCATGTTGTGACACATGGGTGACACTTACGTTCGTCTTCAGGCTCTTCCTCTCCACGTCCCCGTCCACTTCAGTCTCTCCTGAGGCCGTCTCATCACCCTGCCTTGCTGTTGCTCTAAAGTTAGCATTTCCACCTGTCCTTCCTTCAGAGAAACCCTTGCTCTAGTGCCCAATATTTCAGCTCTGTACAAGGAATAAAATGGATTGAGAGTGTGCATTCCTTAAGTAGTGATACATTCTTACACAAGTGCTTGAATTTTACAAGATTTGTTACTGCAAGTGACCTTAACTTTGGAGAGTTAATTGTGAAATAAAGTGAAGAATGTTAAGTAATAGAACTGATTTAATTTGAGGTGCTTCTCAGACTAATTTTACAAGCCACATAGTGTCTTTTTTTTTTCTTTTTAGAAGAAAAAGTCATACCAGTGTGCTATTTGTGAAGCTCTTCAGATACCAGTGAATTTGTAGTCTAAGGCCATGTGGGTCTTCATTTTGGTGAACATTTGTCATGTGTGTGCCCTGTGCAGGTCTTTAGATACACAGTAAGCTCATGGTGTAGTATTTTGGAGAACACACTGGGGATGGAAACCACGGCCATCACACTGAGCTAAATTCCTGGCCCTCATAAACTTTTTTTTAGGAATGTAAGCAATTTTATAGGTTCACAGAGGGGGCAGATGCTAACAAATAGGTGTGTACAGACCTTGATCCTTAGGATTTTTTTTTTTTTTTTTTTTTGGTATGGGGAGTGGGGTGGCATCAAACTCAGAACCTTGTGCTTGCAAGGCAGGCAGTGGCACTACTGAGCTAAATCCCCAGCTGGTTGTTAAGAATTTAAATTGTCTCACATATGTGATCTGCTTTGACATATAAAATATCTTCTGATTTACTGACAGTAGATTATAGTAAAAAGGAAAACAAAAATACACATTGCTTGTTATAATTACTGATTCATTGCAACATCTTTTCTTTGTTTTTTGTTTGTTTGTTTGTTTGTCTGTTTGGTTTTGTTTTTTGAGACAGGGTCTTACTATGTATTTCAGGCTGGCCTTGAACTCCTGGTGATTCTCCTGACTCATCTTCTGGAATTCTGGGATTAAAAGCTTGTGCCTCTGACATACTTTTACTAGAAAACATCACTGTTTCTTTCACCTCCCTCTCTCTTCTTTAAGTTTTTTCATCTCTACAATCCCTAAAATCCTTTCCCAAGGGACGAGTTTCCCTTCCTATCAGCAACCGGTCCATTAGACCTAACCCATAATATTAAATGAAAGATGAAAGAATTTAGCTTTCTTTCTATTTTAAAATGCCTTTAGTTACAAGGACCCGAGTTTGATCCCCAGTACCAAATGAATAAATTAGTCTTGCTGCCAAATTCTATTTTGAATGTCAGATGTTAAAGATCAATTATTCTTGGGCTGGGCCTGGTGGCGCACACCTGTAATCCCAGCACTTGGGAGGCTAAGGCAGGGGGATCGCTGTGAGTTCGAGACCAGCCTGGGCTGCATAGTGAGTTCCAGGTCAGTCTCAACTACGTAGTGAGACCCTAAAACAAAAAACAAAACAAAACAACAACAACAACAACAACAAAATCTATCTATCTATCTATCTATCTATATATAGATCAATTATTTTTTCTCTTTGCATTTATTTATTCTATAATAATGCACAGTCCCTACTGAGGCAGATGGGTGTTTTTGGCTGAATGAAGAAAGTCTTACTGTGTTGCAAAAGTAACTAAGAAAGGAGTTAATATTGTTAAAAATATCAACTTTATTACACTGGGGTCTCCGTGACCTGGTGTACTGCCTGGCGCTTCTAGGCATTCTGTAATGAGCTGTGTTATAGGAATGGATTATATTA